TAACTTGCTAACCAATAACTCAGCCTCTGACAACACAAATGGTGCAGCTTCGGTTCTTGATTACATAATCTTTTGTTTTCAAAAGCAATTTCCTATAATTTAATTGAAACCGCAATACACCAGAACAACATTTAATACATGCAGCACTGCCACCGCCAACACGTCCAAGCCCCTATACTAAGTATACTCTCTATGTATATATACATACATATGCATAGCACTCTGTAAATACAATCGTTAGTTCTTGTATATTTCAAGTTAGTTTTAGTTTAAGTTTAGTTCCCCTTTCTGATTTTATATAATTTTTCTTCGCGCATGCTTGAGTTATGTTTTATTTATTTTTGATATTTTGTGCACATGTTTTTTTAAGTATGTATGTATGTATTTATGTACATATCAACATGATTGATTAGCTTTAATTGTTACTTATATATTTTGTTGTTTACTTTATGATTTGTTTTTACGTTTTATTTTCCATATACCAATCAAAACAATTCAAAATATCCAAAATACAAAACGAACCAAATACCCGAACCCCGCAAATGCAATGCAATGCACCACCCAAACTACCAACACCCCATATATACAACCAACACAAACACGACCACACCACCCCACCACAACAACAACAACAACACGTTATTTCCGCCCGGTTGTGTTGCCAGTCGGTGCCGATGGTTTACAAATCCTCGTCGACATATTCATCAAACAAATATCGACGCTATCTGCAGATGGCTGACAACCAGAACGAGGATGAGCAAGCGCAGCTGTTGGGCGAGGAGGGCGTGCGCGCCAATCAGCCGGGCCAAAATTTAAAGCTTGGGTAAATATTGCAACCTCAATGAATTAGTCGATTCACTCAGCAACAAAAACAAAACCAAAACCAAAACAAAGATCAAAACAAGACCAGATCCAATGGAAAACTAAACTCAGAATCAGCCTGCGCATTTACCAAACTGAACACAATATCTATGCGAATTGAAAACAAAACCAAACCCGACTCGCTCGCTCGCTCTCATTCTCCATGGCTATTTTGCGTGTCGTTATCTTTGTATAAAGTTATACATATACATATATATATATATATATATGTACTATATATAGATAAACTATAACTATGTGTGCTGCTGCCTCTTTGTCTGTCTGTATGTTAGGCTCTGGTTTGGATTATTACAAGTACATGTGGTTGTTTATGTATGTTTGTATGTGTCATAGGCTAAGATCAATGGTCGCTCTGGTGTTGGCTTTATCTCTACCGCTCCACCCCACCCAAAACATATACATCATATATATCCCAACTAAACCACAAAGACTTGGCGGCGGAAAGCTTCAATTAACTCGACAATGATACTAACTGCATAAGCAAAGCGTATATAAATATCTATATACCAAATTGCCGTTAAAATGAAAGCAAACTTTTAACACAATTTTTAGCAGGAGGGCGGCCTGAACCACACCACCGAGTCGATGACACGGGCCCTCATCACCGATGAGGTGCGCACCGCCGGTGCATCCATGGGTCCCGTACAGCTTGGGTATGTATCGAACACAGCAGGCGTGTACGTACATTTGGCTAATGCCGAATTAATACGTTACATTTACTATGTATATGCAACAAAAAATTATTGCTTAACGCTATCCACTAACCAAACGACCAAACCGACCAAGCAAAGACGCTGCTGTGCTTAAGCCATACTGAAACTACATCAAGTGTGCCATCAAATCAAACAACAACAACAAATGATCAAATGCTATTACAACATCGATGTTGGATTTACGCCTTTCATGCTCTCTAACCTCCTTCGAAGCAATAATTTTATGTGCAATCAAAAAAAAAAAAAAAAAAAAAGAATACTTAAATCAAAAATGCAAAGTTGAAAAGAAAATCTAAAACTAAATCAAACACCATTCTCTCTTCTGCTCCTCTCTTCCCATGTTCAAATACACATCGAGAACACAAATTAACAATTATATAGTTTTATGGAAAAATCGATTGAACGTGAGGATTATCTGCCATGGTTGGTATCCCACAATTCCAAATTTAGACTAGGAATGCTCATGCTCATATTAAAAAAAAATCTGTATATAGAGACATATCGCCCAGTGGTCATTAGCTTAGCTCGCCACATACGCCCCTTAAAAAACAAAAAAAAAAAAAAAAAGAAAAAAAAAAAATCAAACTTGTGTTCCTTGTTAATACTTTTAATTGTCGCCACGTTCCATTCCATGCTGCGTTCATTGGTATTTGTGCTTGAGAGTTTAGTTTTCCTTGTTGCCGTAACTAACCGGAATGAATAAGCAGAGCGACTAAACACTTAATTGATCGCCTCGCATTAATCTTTAATCTATCTTAGCTTTGTGGCCGGCGTCATTTCACGGGAGAAGCTGCCGGCATTCGAGCGGATGCTGTGGCGTGCCTGTCGAGGCAATGTGTTTCTTCGTCAGGCCATGATTGAGTCGCCGCTGGAGGATCCCACAAATGTGAGTTGTGCATCTCATTGAATTAGTTCAGCTGAATTTGATGGTCTTCAATGCATATTTCAGGGCGATCAGGTGTACAAGTCGGTGTTCATCATATTCTTCCAAGGCGATCAGCTGAAAACGCGCGTAAAGAAGATTTGCGAGGGTTTCCGAGCCACACTCTATCCATGCCCGGAAGCGCCAGCAGACCGTCGCGAAATGGCCATGGGCGTCATGACACGCATCGAGGATCTAAACACGGTGCTTGGCCAGACGCAGGATCATCGTCATCGCGTCCTAGTCGCAGCTGCCAAGAACTTGAAGAACTGGTTCGTCAAGGTGCGCAAAATCAAGGCCATCTATCATACGCTGAATCTCTTCAATCTGGATGTGACTCAAAAATGTCTCATCGCTGAGTGCTGGGTTCCGCTGTTGGACATCGAGACCATCCAGCTGGCGCTGCGCCGCGGCACTGAGCGCTCGGGATCGTCCGTGCCGCCAATTCTGAATCGCATGCAAACATTCGAGAATCCACCCACATATAATCGCACCAACAAGTTTACCAAAGCCTTTCAGGCACTAATCGATGCGTACGGTGTCGCTAGCTATCGTGAGATGAATCCAGCACCCTATACCATAATAACGTTCCCATTTCTGTTCGCTGTCATGTTTGGCGATTTGGGACATGGAGCGATAATGGCGCTATTCGGACTGTGGATGATACGCAAGGAGAAGGGATTGGCTGCCCAGAAAACTGACAACGAGATTTGGAATATCTTCTTTGGTGGTCGCTACATCATATTCCTCATGGGCGTCTTTTCCATGTACACCGGTCTAATCTACAACGATATATTCTCGAAGTCACTCAATATATTCGGCTCGCATTGGCATCTTTCGTACAACAAGTCAACTGTTTGGAATAATAAATATTTACAATTGAGCCCGGCGACCAGTGATTATGAGGGCACCCCGTATCCATTCGGAATGGATCCCATTTGGCAGGTGGCCTCTTCCAATAAGATTGTCTTTCAAAATGCCTATAAGATGAAGATATCCATAATATTCGGTGTGCTGCACATGATCTTTGGCGTCATCATGAGCTGGCACAATCATACATATTTCCGCAATCGCCTTTCTCTGCTCTATGAGTTTATCCCACAACTTTTGTTCCTGGTGGTCCTCTTCTTCTACCTGGTGCTCTTGATGTTTATTAAATGGAATCGCTATGCAGCTACAAATGAGTGTATGTTTATGCCTTTTCTAAAGTTTTCCAGAAGTAATGAACTCTTTTTATTCTCATTGTAGTTCCCATGACAGAGGCGTGCGCCCCATCCATTCTGATTACATTCATTGATATGGTTCTGTTTAAGAAATCCAAGCCCCCAGGCCTACACTGTAATACTTATATGTTTGCCGGGCAGTCGTTTTTCCAGACCGTCTTTGTTCTAATTGCACTCGCTTGTATTCCGGTCATGCTGCTGGGCAAGCCAATAAAGATTATGCAGGCGCGTAAACTGGCTAACGTAAGTACACATTCCGCCGCATTCAATTTACGTCAAATGCTTCGTGTCATTGTTGCAAATCCTTCACCATTCCATCCACATCACATCATCGACTATTTTAAGGCTGGGTGCATCCGCATACATTAACAGATAATACTTGTGTTTGCACTTCTGTTTATTTATGCCTTACCCTTGTCTTTATCCCCAAACTAACAAACCACATCCAACAAAAAATACCACTCAACAAACGAATAAACTAAACACCAACCAATCCAAATGCAACAGGAAGAGGTTAGTTGAGTCCCTTGTAGTATTGCATATTCAAATTATAAACTTATTTCCCGAGCCTCCCGCTGATAATCCATTGTTACGTTGAAACAGGTGCAGCCCATAACTGGCGCATCTGATGCTGAAGTCGGCGGCATGTCGAATGGCGGCGGTTCACATGGCGGCGGCGGCGAACACCACGACGAGGAAGAGATGTCGGAAATATTCATTCACCAGGGCATCCATACGATCGAGTATGTGTTGGGCTCAGTTTCCCACACTGCATCCTATTTACGTTTGTGGGCGCTCTCATTGGCACATGCCCGTAAGTCAACTTGATTGCTTGGACATATATTCAATGAGAAATCTCAATGAATTCTAATGAGCTTTCCTTTATTGACAGAGCTTGCTGAAGTCTTGTGGAGCATGGTATTGTCTTTAGGTTTGAATAAGGAGGGCTGGCTTGGCGGAATCTTTTTGACGGTTGTCTTTGCATTCTGGGCTGTATTGACCGTTGGCATTCTGGTTTTGATGGAGGGTCTTTCCGCATTCTTGCACACGTTGCGTCTTCACTGGTATGACTACGACTCAATACATTTAATATAAACTAAAATTTGCTTCCTCTTCGCAGGGTGGAGTTCCAGAGCAAATTCTACATGGGTCACGGCTACGCTTTCCAGCCGTTCTCGTTTGATACCATCATTGAAAATGGGGGCGCAGTCACGGAGACCGAATAGACGGTCGACAAAACGTCAACAACAGCAACCAAAGCTTGTCGAGAGTCTCATCGTATATTCAATTTATATAGGTACATTCAAAATACATGTTTAATGGAATTTAATTGAAATTTGCTTAGTAATTGTTCTATAAATATTTAATAATCGTGAATTTATGTAACGTATAGCCCAATAATATTGTCTAACGTTCTTCATAGTCGTTTATCGTGTTTACTCATAAATATAATAAAATATATATATACATATATCCAAAGCGCCCGCTCCAGGCGTCAGCGCCAAAAAAACTAAGGGGTTTTAGTTTCAATGGCTCATCAATTCATTTAATGCTTCTATAAATTTTCGCATGTTCTCTGTAGCTGGCTCATAGGGCCTCAGAGCTTCAAAGTCCAATGTAGCAAGTTTGGTGCTAACCTCGTTCACCTTGCAGTAGTATAAATACTGCTCGGACGCCAATTGACGGGCCAATTCCAACTGATGGTTGTCCATCAGCTCGTCATTGACTACGATTAACCCAGCCTTGCCATTATTCAAAATATCCATGCATGTACCGGCACCCGCATGCCCAATGATCACATCAGCAGCTTGAATATCCTCTGCATTGGGCCGAAATTTATATTGATCCACTTGAATGCCGTACTTCTCATGGATGAGCTGAATCTCGGAGTCGGCCACCGGTGTAGAGTTGCCGTGCTGCAGCACAAGTTTCTGGCACTTTAGCTTTTGTAATGCGCACAAAACAGGTGCAGATGTTACAACATTGATGAGTGCATCGAATTTCGTGGTACCGACAGTGACGTAGACAACGATTAAATGCATTTTTTAACTTGCTTGTATAGAAAATTAAAAACAATAACAAATCTGATTAGAGATGGCAGTTCTTGACTATCGCAACATGTTTTCAGGTCAATATTTGATATCGATAACTCAATTCGATAAGCTAATACCTCAAGCCGTTATTAGTTTGAAATATGTGTAATACTATATGGTTTTATGACTGACAATTATTATCATATTATTAAAAATAAATAAAATGAATTTTTAGTTTATTTAAAAAAATAAATTCTAAAAATTATCATTAAATTTCTAAGTATATTATATATTTATCATTTTTGAATATTATATACACTTAAAATGTATACATATATATTTTTTAAAGCAACGTTTCCATTGTTATTATTCAAGTTAGAAAATTGCATATGCGGCGAAACACATATGTATGTACATACATATATTTTATTGTTGGCTCGCTGCAAAACAGTTTCTCACCACATTAGGAAGTTCAATACAAAGATAATTTACATAAGTGCGCGACTGCTTACTTTTTCGTTGCTCCTAATTCACCCACTCATCGGTCAGAACTGTTACTCTCACTATCACTCTCCCTCTCTCGATTTTGATCTGAACGTACGCTGGATACAATTATGTTGTCGCTCTTGGTGTTGCGCTTTTAGTCACTGGTCGGCCGTTACGCGTAACGGTTGTGCTGCCTCTCACGCTGGCTGGTGTGATACTTGAATAAATTGCATTTATGTATATAAACTAAACCAAACATCAGCGTAGAAAGCAAATTTATTTCTGCTGAAAATCAGATTTGTTTACTTTTATTCAATTAAAAAACGCGCGCCTCTGAAAGTGTTGCCGTGACCGCTAAAATCTAGGCGAATTTAAATTCGTAATTGTATTGGTGACCATCACTGTGTCCCGCCCGACAGCGAATGTCACTGTAGTGTAGTTTTACTAGTGCGTGTGTGTGTGTGTTAGTGCTTAGTGCCTTGAACGAACGATTGCAGCTGAGCGCAACCCAAACGCAAACTGCATATAACAGTAAACCAGCAGAATAGTCAAAATTGCAAGAAGAACTGTAGTAGGAAGCGACGCAGCTAGCAAAGAAAAAAAAAGGTAAAATACAAATTCGTCAAAGTTTTGACTTGTCGTTTATTGCTCTGATAATTTTAAGTATTATTTGAATTCGTAATGCATAAAGTGCTTGTCGTTTCCAAGATGTGATCCATATAGATATGTATGTGTGTATGTCTGAATTGAGCCAGTATATACAAACGTATATATGTACATATGTATTAAGTATGTGTATAGGCATATTTGTATAAACACAATGCTAAAACCGTGAACTTATCAACACTTCATTTAATTTCATTTTTATTTGTGCACATTTCTAATTTGTTTATTTTCTATACAATATCCATTCAACTTGTTCATGTTTTCGCACACATCCCCCAGCATCAATTTGAATTTTGCATCTGTTTGAGATAAACACCATTTGGCTGGATGCCGGCTTTATAGCTTCCAGACACTTGATATCTACAAGTAGAGGCGTAAGTATACATACATATGTATGTATGTATGTATCTGTATCTGCATGGGTGTGTGTGTATGTCTTTTTTGTTTGCCAACTCAGACAGGATCCATAAACAATTTGCTCAAATTTTCCTTCCGCTGAGCAATCATTTAATTATTTTTATAACCATTCATAGATGGAACTCGTAAAAAAGCTTATAAACATGTGTTAGCCTAAATATATGTACATACATATGTATATATGTATGCATATAAATTGAAGAGAAAATTGTATTTAACTTTGCAATTTTTGTAATTCATTCAGCTGCCGAAATTTAATTAGTGCCCAAGTGCAAATTGAACTGGCCAGCCGCAGATCACTTCTTCATTTGTACTCACCCACATACACACACACACACACACACACACAAACACACTTATACAGACATACATATATGTATGTATATACAAATATCATAGGTCAACGTGCAATAAATCTACAATTTATAATCTCGCGTGTGGCACAGACAACGATGTAAATATCTTTTGATGTTTTAATCATACGGACAGTTAATTTGAAGAGAAATCAATATGATTTAGCACAAATTAATTAATTGAAAAATCAAATGCAATCTCAATTTTGGCATTACTTGTAAATTTGATTTATGAATTTGACGAATTTGCCTAAATATAGTCGCTTAGCAATTCATGTCCATGTATTAATTATGGCTTGACAAGACGAATAGACAGTTAACATCATCAGCAGCATAATGATCATTATAATCATCATTGGGCTTGTGAATTTGATCAATAAAATATTGCTATAAATTTGAACTCTCGCAATGGGACCATGGACCCCCCATTGGGAGAGGGAGCGCAGACATATGAGACGCACCATGCGGAGGCGTTGTATCATCTCAGTTTATGTTGTTATTTTTTTGCCTATGTTTTTTTTTTTTTTTTTTTAACGAAGGTCAGAGTGTCGGCGTCGGCATCGGCGTCGGCGTCGCCGGCAGAACGACCAGTGTTTAATTGTGGCAATTTGCAGCGGACAGCAGATCAAATTAATGTCATAACTCAATTAGCCGGCATTCGGTCACACATATGCAAATGGGTGAAGTGGGTTTAAAGTTTAAACAGATGCAGACAAACACGCATACATACATATGTGTATATATGTATGTATATGTGTATAAACGATTATCGTCGGAGATGTTTCCAGTTATGTTGTCTCAGAGTACCTCACTGTATCAGCAAGGCTCGTGTTGACTCGACTTGACAGATGGGCAAATGGTACAATTAATCATGATGATAATGAGCAATCAAAATCTGTGATAATATATTGTATAATGTCGACAGTTTCTATATAAGTATTAACTTTTACATATATATTATTAGAAATAATCACAAAGTAAGCCTGAAAAAGTGAGGCTAATAATATAGTTACGAAGTAATTCTAATATCTGTGATAATATATAATCCCATGACTTTCTATATAAATATTAGTTGTATGTATTTAACAAAATCCTCTAAAAACTTCGCTTTTCGCCAAGTGTATTAGTTACAAAGCATTGCTTTCATATAGAAATAAATGTATACATTTTGATTTACAAACTGGAATAAGTAAAAAGTACAATAACCAATTTCAACGTTTTTCAAGCATATAATAAACTGTTTGACGAATAGTTAAAGTCGACTTGTGTTTGTCATAAGCACAATGATTCGCCGTTCGCTTGTAGAACTCAAGTTTTCAGCCCGGCCCTCATCTGTACGTCTCTGTACGGGCGTACGTCATAGCACTTGAGCAAGTTTTGCGTAAATGCACACTCAACGAAGAATTCATTAAAACTGGGAATAACTTTTATTTATGGATTTCCCATTATTCTACTACAAACCCATATAATTTAACTACATGCTCATTCGCATATATAAAATGGTTCCGCCTAATTAACAATTGGTTAAACCAAGCAAATATTGTTTACAGATCTCGTTCAGAATATTTTATAAAAGCCAAAAGTCATCTATTTGTATAAATCTAAATTTGTAATTTTCTTGTTATATAAATGATTCAAATATTCAGATGAGGCATTTATTTATTAATATAATTTTCTAAAAATTATTTAAAATTAAATCTTTAGAGTTTGATATCATGTTCGTCTGTCTGTTTGTATGAACAGGAACCATTAGCCTCCATTAAAAGTTAGTATGGGATGGAGTAGCCAGAAATTGAGGGAGATTTTTTATAAATATCAATTTATGTATCAATGTAAGCTATTTAGAATATATTAGCATTTCGCCTTTTCAAGCATATTATTGCTGGAGCAGCGTATTAAGGTAATCTGATTTAACTATGCCTAATTACTTGCCTATATATATGTTCGTATGTATGTATGTGTGTCTGTTGCCCAGTCGATATCACAGTCTCTCTCCAGGTTTGGCTCTCTGGAATGAAGACAAAGTACAGATCATTTATTGGTCTCTATGTATGCAGCAGTATGCTTTTCGAATTTATATTTAAGTAAAACGAAGCTAGAGTGCTTGACGCAGCAGAGGGTGCTCCCATTGGTCAGCCAAGGCTCGACTGCAACGACTCCTGACGTAGCACTCAACATTTGAGAGCGGCCTAGGCTTTGAGTGATTGTTGCCCTATATAAAGGGCAACAGCTGCAGCATTTCTTCAGTCGTCCACACATGATGGGGTCAGTCATACAGTGCAGTGAAGCGAAGTGAAGTGTGTGATCGATCAGCTAAGCATTAAGGACGGTCGAAATGCTTATAGGAAATACTTGGAAGAAAGACTTAGATGAGGGGATTAGAGGAAACAGAAGAGAGGCCTAATAAAAATACTGAAACAAAAATAAATAAAACAAGTAAGAAGACTCTAGTCGAGACTGCTCGACTAGGAGATACCCTGA